TTAACGCATAGGAAAATCCCATTGGAGGAAAATTCCACTTAGGGTTAGGGTCAGGTCAACATGAACTCATAGAGCAAAATGGATATCGGCAACAAACCCGGAGTGCTTGGGTATGGTTGGGAAAGCACTGACTCTTCTAGCCTGCATTATCTATGTTTCCTGGTAAAATACATGGGAAAATCCCATTGGAGGAAAATTCAATTAAGGATTAGGGTTAGGTCAACATGAAGTCGCAGAGCAAAATGGATATCACCAAGAAACTCGGAGTGCTTGGGCATGCTTAGGAGGGCACTGACTTTTCTAGCCTGATCTTTCTATGTTTCCTGGTAAAATACATGGGAAAATCCCATTGGAGAAAATTTCCACTTAGGGTTAGGTCAATATGAAGTCGGAGAGCAAAATGGATATCGCCAACATGTTTGGAGTGCTTGGGTATAGTTAGGGAGGCACTGACTTTTCTAGCCTGCCCTATCTATGTTTCCTGGTAAAATACAAGGGGAAATCCCATTGGAGGAAAATTCCATTTAGGGTTAGGGTTAGGTCAACATGAAGTTGCAGAGCAAAACGGACGTCGCCAACAAACTAAGAGTGCTTGGATGAATTTTGGAGAAAAAATATTACAAGCTTTTGGTGCTATATATCAAAAACAAATGGCACAACTTATAGTTAACGGGGGCTTGTCAGAGGTTTTCACAATAGAAAAAGGGACAAGACAGGGATGTCCATTGTCACCACTACTGTTTGTTTTAACTTTGGAAATTCTGCTGATTAAAGTTCGAGAATCCCAGGAAATAAAAGGAATAGAAGTTAATAAAAAAGAATATAAATTAAGAGCTTTTGCAGATGACTTGGTGGTTACTTTGTCTCAACCTACTCATTCTGTAGTAAACTTATTACAACTGATCTACCAATATGGACGGGTTTCGGGATTTAAAATTAATAACAATAAGACTAAAATATTACCTAAAATATGACTAATTTGGATAAGCAGATTTTGGTTAATTTGACAGATTTTGAAGTTGTTGATAAGATAAAATATTTGGGGGTTACCCTATCCGTTTCTAATGCAAAATTGTATAAAAACAACTATGAAAGGCTGTGGGTCAGGGTACAAAAAGATTTGAAAAATTGGGAGAAGTTACAGTTATCTCTTATGGGAAGAATAGCAGTGATTAAAATGAATGTCCTGCCAAAGTTTCTTTTTCTATTTCAAATGTTACCTATTTTAAAGAATGAGGTTAATTTAAATGAATGGCACAAGGTATTAACAAATTTATTTGGGCAGGGAAAAAACCAAGAGTAAAGCTTAAAATTATGCAAGACTTCCGTGAGAGAGGTGGACTCAAGGTACCGAATCTGAAATTGTATTATGATGCTGTGGCTTTAACACTAATTAGTGATTGGGTTAATTTAACAAATGTAGAAATACTCCATTTGGAGGGTTGGGATTTTGGATGGCATGCCTATTTAATTTTTAATAAAAAAGCTGATCGGGTTTTTAAATCTCATATTATAAGGATTTCTCTACTCCGGGTTTGGAGGAAATATTATAGAAGTGATTTTAAAATACCATCATGGGCTATACCCTGGCATGCGATAGAGGGGATAAGGAGAGAAGTTAAGATGGAAAGTGTTTCTTATGCACAACTACTCAGATGGGATGGTCAAAATTGGCAGTTAAAATCTTTGGAAGATTTAGCACGTGAAAATATTATTTATTCATGGTTTCAATATAGACAAATAGTGGATAGATGGAAGATGGACCGTAATATGGGCTTGCTTAAAGAAGATGAAAACCTTTTTAAACAAGTAAAAGATCAAAGGCGAACTCATATTAAGAGAATTTATGGGGTGCTAGTAGAACTGGATTCAGAATCAGAACTAATTAAAGAATGTATGATTAAATGGGCATAAAATTTTGGTGAACCAGTTTTACTAGATACCTGGGAAACCATCTGGGTGAGGAATGTCAAATTTACACAAGCCCAGAACTTAAGGGAGAATTTTTACAAAATGTTTTATAGATGGCACCTTGATCCACAAAAAATGTCTCGTGTGTATCCTGACTTACAGCCTAAATGTTGGAGATGCGGTCGTTTGGATGCTACTTATTATCATATTTGGTGGTCGTGCAAAAATATAAAAGCTTTTTGGATTAAGATATGGTGGAATATTCAAAAATTTTTTAGAAGGAGGGTAAAATTTACCCCACAATTGTTTTTGTTGGGTATCGTTATTGTGATGTTAAGGAGGTTATACTGATGTTAAATTTAATCACAGCCGCAAGGTTGTTAGTAGGGCAATACTGGAAGAAGGAATCTTTGCCTACCTTGCAAGAATGATTTTTTAAAGTTTCTTATTTGGCGGAAATGGCAAAGATTTCGGCTTTTTTAAAGGACCAATCGCAAGAGAAGTTCTTGGCGGTATGGCTAAAATGGATAGACTTTATACAACATAAGTTGGATATAAAAAAATATTACTTAGCTTTTCAATAATTTATATATAAATCTTATTATTTTATAGATTCTATTTTTTTTCTTTTCTCTTTTTCTTCTCTTTCCTTATATTCTTTATTTTTATCTTATCCTATCTTACTTCTTTTTATATATATATATATATATTTCTCTTTCTTTTTTCTTTTACTCTTTTTTTAAGCATCTTTTTTTAATAATACTTATGCTTTTTTACATATATATTATTGTTAATTATCTTATAAACCTACGTAATGTATTTAGATATACTTATGGTTTATATTTTTTAATTTTTTAAAGATTTTTTAGAAATCTTAACTAAGCCTATATTCAGCTCTGGGAAGGTTGGGGGGATGGGGTGGGAGGGTTGGGGTGGTTGGGTAGGGTTGTTTTTTGTTTTTCTTTTTCTATTTGTAAAATTTTAAATATTTTCAATAAAAAAAAAAGAAAAAAGAAAATTTTAGAGTGTGCAGAAATGGACAGATTGACTTTAAAGATAAAAGAGGAAGAAGATAGAAAAGATAGAAAAATGTGGATTAGACAGCATCACCACCAGATGGATCCGTAGCTGGTTGACCGGCAGTACTCAGCGTGTGGTCCTCAATGGAACTGCATCTACATGGAGGGAAGTGTGTAGTGGGGTGTCCCAGGGCTCTGTTTTAGGCCCAGTGCTCTTCAACATCTTCATCAACAATTTGGATGAGGGCATAGATGAGGAAATCATCAAATTTGCAGATGACACCAGGCTGGAAGGAATAGCCAACACTCCAGAAGACAGGCTTAGGATACAGGAGGATCTGGACAGACTTGAACACTGGACGCTATCTAACAAAATGAAATTCAAGGGTGAAAAAAGTAAGGCTCTACATTTAGGCAAGAAAAACCAAATGTACAGGTACAGCATAGGGGGTACCTTTCTCAATAGTAGTAACTGTGAGAGGGACCTCGGAGTCCTAATGGACAATCACTTAAATATGAGCCAGCAGTGTGCTGCAGCTGCCAAAAAGGCCAACACAGTGCTGGGCTGAATTAACAGAGGGATAGAATCAAGATCACGTGAAGTATTAATACCACTTTACAATGCCTTGGTAAGGCCACACTTGGAATACTGCATCCCGTTTTGGTCACCACGATGTAAAAAAGATGTTGAGACTCTAGAAAGAGTACAGAGAAGAGCAACAAAGATGATGAGGGGACTGGAAGCTAAAACATATAAGGAACGGTTGCTGGAATTGAGTATGTCTAGTTTAATTAAGAGAAGGACGAGGGGGGACATGATAGCAGTGTTCCAATATCTTAGGGGTTGCCACAAAGAAGAAGGAGTCAAACTACTTTCCAAAGCCCCTGAAGGCAGGACAAGAAGCAACGGGTGGAAACTAATCAAGGAGAGAAGCAACCTAGAACTAAGGAGAAACTTCCTGACAGAACAATTAACCAGTGGAATAACCTGCCTCCAGAAGCGGTGAATGCTCCAACACTGGAAGTTTTTAAGAAGAGACTGGACAGCCATTTGTCCGAAATGGTATAGGGTTTCCTGCCTGAGCAGGAGGTTGGACTTTATTCCAGCTTTATTATTATTATAAGACTCAGTGTATTTTAGAACATGGGATAATTTCTATCAGTGGCTAGAAACATGAGTTAGAGAGAAAGGAATATGGTATGTAATTTTGAATATATATTAGCAAGAATATCAAGCGATTAATTAACATATTGTTTATGATGATTAACTATTATTGTTTGTTAAACACATGAACCCAGCATTATGCTGTTTGCTAAAGATTGAGAATGTCATTTGGAAAAACCCCAACCCCAATCCGAACCTAAATCCCAATCCTAATCCCACCTCATTCCTAACCCTATAAAAGCTAATAAAATTTATACCCCCCCCCAAAAAAAGAAGTTCCAGGAAGAATATGGTCAGGCAAAGAAACTTTGTCTTCAGGTGTGGAAGATTTGTTGTGTCTTTTCCATGTTGCTGAGCTCACCTACCCGAGCACCTAAACCGCACCCGGTGTCAACGCTACTAACATCGGATGTTTTTGCATTGACAACAGAGGGAAATGTAGCCATCTTTTACCTTTTGCTTTTAGAGTTAGATGAGGCTGGGAGGGGGGATGTGAACGAGAGTCCAGCTAGACATAACAACACTAAAGCTAGTGTGAGAAACAAGGTTATTGTAACCAGAGCTGATAAGGAACTGGTGGGCTGGAGACCTGGAGAGGAAGCCTGCGCTTCAAGCTAATTGGGGAATGTGATTTTTGACTGTTAATTGGAGGAGGGAATTGTGCTTTGGTAGTATGTGCTCAGGGGAGGGGAATTCAGTTTTTGGCTTCGATTATGCAGTGCCGATGTTATGCTACTCAAAATAAAGATTTTTTAAGGTAAACAATGCCTCGAAGTTCTTTTGAAGAGTTTCATCTGTCGGAACCATGACACCGGGTTTTGGATGTCTCCCTCTCATTGGGCATCTTCCTCTGGGAATTCTGCCCCCCTCCCTCCCAGCTCCAAGTGCAAGAGAGGAGGCGCACAAAAGGTCCAGCAGAATTTTATTTGAAGGGATCCAAAAGGCCTGAATGGCGGGCCTGGGGGCGCCAGCCAGCCCACCCCTCCTTCCACGCTGCCTCTTCAAGTCTTGACGGACACCTTGCCCTGCGTCCGCTGGAATTCCTGCTGCAGCCGGCCCAGGGCCTCCCGGTGCTGCTCCGACTTCCGCTCATAGTCCTGAATCTGGGTGTCATAGCGCTTGCTGCAGAGAGACAGAGAATCAGGCCGGTAAGCGCCTGAGCGCGGGGAGAAGCCAGAAAAACTGGGGGGGGGGCTGAGGTAGACTGCCTCGGGAGTTGGAGGCCCCACCGAGGACACCCCTGTCCACTCACATCTCCCCTGTGATGTAGTCCAGCCTCTTTCCGACGGTGGCTTTGGCTTCCTCCATGTCCTGCTTCACCAGCACCGGCCCGATGAGCTTGTAGACCGCGTTAGAGGAGTCCAGCAGGTCCAGTTCCTGGAGGGGAGAAGAAGAGGAGGAGGGCTGTGGCCAAAAAGGGGGCTCAAGGCAGGGGAGGGGGAGGGACGACCAGCTTCACCCTCACCTCCTTCACTACATGGTTCTCCGTCAACTGAGCCTCCAGCTTCTGACGGGCGGTCATGCATTTGCTCAGATCTGCGAAGAGGGAAGAGAAGAGACCCCCCCCCTGTTTAGGGTCCTTCTGAGCGTGTTTCCAGAAGCCACACACCCCTCAGGTCCAACAGAGAGGAGACTTTTTCTAAGAGTTTCAAAGGAATCGAGATGGGGCTCTGTGGACCTCCCCCCCCAATACTGCCGAAAGGCTCTCAGATGGAGAAGAGCACTCGGGGTCCCTCTGAAGACCATCCACACCTTTGTGAACCTCTCCATAGAGGGACCCCAGAGGGATCCCTCTACGGGGGTCACAATCCTTCTGTCTCCGGTGCCAACTCTCCAGGATGCAAGAAGGGCTGATAGGCTCTGTCTGGTTTGGGGGAGCCCCCCCAAGAGGTCAAAGGAAGGAATGGAACCATGCTCCAGCACCCCAAGAGGCGGGCACTGAAGGGCAAAAGAGGCCACGGGGAGGTAAGGAAGGCGAAGGCGCTTGTGGGCTTCCAGATACCCTCCCCAGCCCTTGTAGACCCCACCTGAGCAAGCTCTCTGGATGTGTTTGGTGCCCACGCAAAGTGTGGGACAACAGCTCCTTTTCCCGCAGCCCAGCCGATGGGCTGCTGGCTGGGGAGGATGGGAGCTGCGGTCCATCCCATCTGGCTGGATCCCGACTGAGAAGCCATTTTTAAAAAGTGTGCTTCTAAAATGGCTGCCGTGTCCCGAGAGCAGGAGCCTGCAGAACGGCCTTGCGCACACGCTCTCCTTCCAGGAGCGACTGGAAGGAAGGGGAAGGTGGTCCAGGGGAGCGTCCTGGGACCCTCCTTCCGCGATCCGGGGAAAGGTCCCGACCTTTCTGCATCTGCTGATATTTCTCCAGCTCTGCCTGTAACTTCTTCTGCAGCACTTCGCCCATGGCGTCTTTCTCGCCTTGCATGGAACGAGGGCCTTTCTTCTTCTTCTTCTCCTTCTCCTTCAAGCTGCAATAAAGAACGCGAGGGCTTCAATCGTCTGGTTAAACCGAATTATTACATCCAGAGGTGTTTCCTTCCTGGCAGCTTCACAGGACAGATCAGGGGCATCAAACTCGCAACGTCACGTGACGTGTCGCGACGTATCCCGACTTTTTTTTTCCATTGCCGGCAATGGGGTGGGCGCGGTTTCACCACAACACATCCGGCTCACGGGCCGGCAGTTTGACACCCCTGGTATAGATAGAATTACAACAGCTTGTTTGGTTACAAGGGCCCTGAAAAAAGTGACTCCGGACCACTGAGTTCAAATCGCCAGGACCAGACGGATTACACCCCAGAGTTCTCAAGGAACTGGCAGATGTGATATCGGAGCCACTGAACTATATTTTTCAAAGATCCTGGAACACAGGGGAACTACCAGAGGACTGGAAAAGAGCTGATGTAGTTCCCATCCTCAAAAAAGGAAAAAAAATGGATCCAGGAAATTACAGACCTATCAGCCTGACCTCAATACCTGGGAAGATCCTGGAAAAGATAATCAAACAACGAATCAACGAACACCTAGAGGCAAACAAAGTCATTACTAAAAGCCAACATGGGTTTGTCAAAAATAGATCATGCCAGACAAATCTTATTGCATTCTTTGACCAAGTGACAAAATTAGTGGATCAGAGGAATGCTGTGGACATAATTTACTTGGACTTCAGTAAGGCATTTGATAAAGTAGATCACAACCTACTACTTGACAAGATAGAAAAATGTGGGGTAGACAGAACCACCACCAGATGGATCCGTAGCTGGCTGACCGGCCGTACTCAGCGAGTGGTCCTCAATGGAACTGCATCTATATGGAGGGAAGTGTGTAGTGGGGTGCCCCAGGGCTCTGTTCTGGGCCCAGTACTCTTCAACATCTTCATCAACGATTTGGATGAAGGGATAGATGGGGAACTCATCAAATTTGCAGACGACACCAAGCTGGCAGGAATAGCCAACACTCCAGAAGACAGGCTTCAGATACAGAAGGATCTGGACAGACTTGAACACTGGGCACTAACTAACAAAATGAAATTCAATGGTGAAAAAAGCAAGGTTCTACATTTAGGCAAGAAAAACCAAATGCACAAGTACAGCATAGGTGGCACCATGCTCAATAGTAGTAACTGTGAGAGGGACCTCGGAGTCCTAGTAGACAATCACTTAAATATGAGCCAGCAGTGTGCTGCAGCTGCCAAAAAGGCCAACACAGTGCTAGGCTGCATTAACAGAGGGATAGAATCAAGATCACGTGAAGTATTAATACCACTCTTCAATGCCTTGGTAAGGCCACACTTGGAATACTGCATCCAGTTTTGGTCACCACGATGTAAAAAAGATGTTGAGACTCTAGAAAGAGTACAGAGAAGAGCAACAAAGATGATTAGGGGACTGGAGGCTAAAACATATAAGGAACGGTTGCGGAATTGGGTATGTCTAGTTTAATGAAGAGAAGGACAAGGGGGGACATGATAGCAGTATTCCAATATCTCAGGGGCTGCCATAAAGAAGAGGGAATTAAGCTATTTTCCAAAGCACCTGAAGGCAGGACAAGAAGCAACGGGTGGAAACTCATCAAGGAGAGAAGCAACCTAGAACTAAGGAGAAACTTCCTGACAGTGAGAACAATTAATCAGTGGAACAACCTGCCTCCAGAAGCAGTAAATGCTCCAACACTGGAAGTTTTTAAGAAGAGACTGGACAGCCATTTGTCCGAAATAGCGTAGGGTTTCCTGCCCGAGCAGGGGGTTGGACTAGATGACCTCCAAGGTCCCTTCCAACTTTACTACTATTACTATTACTTATGACGGTTGCAGCCTCCCCCAGGCCACGTGGTTCACATTCGGAGGCTTGGCAACTAGTTCATATTTATGACGGTCGCAGCGTCACAGGATCCCCTTTTGCGACCTTCTGACAAGCAAAGTCAATGGGGAGGGAAGCCAGATTCACTTAACAACCGGGTCAGTAACTTAGGTGCAGCGATTCATTTAACAACTGGGTCAAGAAAGGGAGTTAAAATGGGGCAAAATTCACTTAACACATGCCTCACTTAACAGAAATTATTGGGCTCAATTGTAGTTGTAAGTCGAGTGCTGCCTATATCAGGCTGTCAAATTCAATTTCATTGAGGGCCGCATCAGCACTGTGGTTGCCCTCAGGGGGGCTGGGTGTGTGCGGCCTACTGGGTGGGCGTGGCCAGCTCTACAACGTTTGCATCAAGGGGGCCTGTGGGGGCCTTGGCAGGAGTGGGACAGATCTGAGGGTGTCTGGCAGAAAGGGGTGGGACCGGGGCAAGCGCCAAGGCATGGTCCATTTCTTCATTCCTCACAAAGGGTGACACCTCCCCAGCATGCACCCAGGGGGCAGGGCCAACACAGCAGGGGCTGGTTCCTTGTTGTTTCTAGCTGGCCTTGTGGAACTAAGACTGAATGCGTTTCAGCATAGATGGCCACCACAAAATTGTACATTGGCTCCCGGCCGGCCTGGGCCAGGGCCAAGGCAGCAGGGGCTGTTCCCTCACTGTTTCCAGGATGGCTTCGCGGGCCACATGAAACCACTTCGTGGGCCACATCCGGCCCCCGGGCCTTGTGCCTTGACATGTCTGGCCTCTGTGTGTGTGTGTGTGTGTGTGTGTGTGTGTATGACCATATCTGTATCTATATCTGAACATATCTATCTATCTATCTATCTATCTATCTATCTATCTATCTATCTATCTATCTATCTATCTATCTATCCATCCACCCACCCACCCACCCACACACACCTGTCCTTAATAACACTAAAAATGCGAATCCTGGGCATACACATATCAATAAAAATAGAAAAACGAACACCAGGATAAAAATAAACAAGACCGTTTAATATAAACAAGCTTGTAAGTAAAAGAGTTACTGAGTTTTCATTGGACAACTCTGATGACATCGGCAGTCTGGCCGACGAAAGCTCAGTAACTCTTTTACTTAGAAGCTTGTTTATATTAAACGATCTTCTTTATTTTTATCCTGGTGTTCGTTTTTCTATTTTTATTGATATCTGTCTATCTATCTGTCTGTCTGTCTGCCTGTCTATCTATCTCTTATATATATATATTCATGTATGTGTGTGTATGTATATAGGTCTTTGGTTATTCGGGTTTTCTCCCGCGTAAAATTGGAAGTGTCTTGGAGACGTTTCGACGAAGTCCCATTCGTCATCTTCAGGCTGGTGTTTTCAGCTTCGTGCTTCGAAGCTGAAGCTGAAAACACCAGCCTGAAGATAACGAATGGGACTTTGTCGAAACATCGCCAAGACACTTCCAATTTTACGCGGGAGAAAACCCGAATAACCAAAGACCTGTTACATAGAAACACCCGCGAAAACCTCACTCACTCTATATATATGTTCGTGTGTGTGTGTGTGTGTGTGTGTATAAATTATCTGTTGGGTGAGGCACCTGGTCCGCCAAATATAGATCAGTCTGTTCTGCGTTTCACTCCAATCTAGGAGCATGTTTTGCTGGCAGATGTCATAAACTGTAAACACTATAAATTTAAAATTTATAGTGTTCCTGAAATAGCTATACTAGTCTCCCACTAACTCTTTGCCAGCCACAAATTCTATATGTGTGTGTGTGTTCCATATGTGTGTGTGTGTATATACTGTGAATACTGTAAATTCAAAATTTTGTGGCTGACAAAGAGTGGGAGATATGTATGTATGTATATATGTATACGTACACATACAGACATGCACATACACTTGTATGTGTATAGATAAAAATAAAAAAAATGTGTGTACAGGTAACCCTCAACTTACGAGCACAATGGAACTCAAAATGTATGTTGCTAACTGAGATATAAGTGAATTCTGTCCCATTTTACGGCCTTTCTTGCCATGGTTATTAAGTAAATTATTGCAATTGTTAAGTTAGTGACACAGTTGTTAAATGAGCCTGACTTTGCTTGTCACGAAGGTCACAAAAGGGGATCACGACTGACCGTCATCAATATGAGTCAGTTGCCAAGCCACATGGCCCTGGGGATGCTGCGACGGTCGTTAAGTAGAAAAAGGGTCATACGTATCCCTTCTCAGTGATGCCGTAACTTTGAGACAGTCACTAAACGAACTGTTGAGGACTACCTGTATAAATAAAAAATAAAAAATGATAAATTGGCAGGGCTCAGCCACAGCAAAACCACAAAATAATAAGTTTGGTGGATTTTTTTGAAGGCAGAAGTATGACTGAGACCATGCTGCACTGCCTGGGGGGGGGGAATGATGCAGCTCCCCCGAAGGGCAGTTTCCCTCGCCCCTCCAAAAGGAGCGCCTGCGTTCCTTGGGGAGGATGGGAGTTGTAGTCCAGCCCCTCTTGAAAAGGGAGAGGGTCGCCTGGTTCCTCCACAGTCTCCCAGCCCAGGCACATGGAGCTCTGCCGGCCAGGATGATGGGAGAGGTAGCCCGCTGCCATCGCCCTCCCCCCGCCTGCCTGGGGGTGATGGACTCTGTAGTCCGACAGCTGGAAGGGGGGGCCCTCCAGGTCCTTCTGAGGGTCTCCCGGCAAGGGAAAGGGCAGCCCCGCTTCGCCGCGGACCATGGGAACGGCAGTCTCACCTCGGAATCGCGCAGCACCCGCCAACAGCTCCGCCCCCGCCGATACCGGCCGCCGCTCTGGCCTCGCGGGAGGGCGGAAACCCAGCAAACCGGAAGCCGCGGACGCCGCCACGGAGCTCACTATCACCCGGTTTCAAGATGGCGGCCGGGATTATTGCGTCGGAGGAGACCCTGCGGCGGCCACGTGACCGGACGGGCCCCGCCCCCGCAGTGCCCGCCAGCCTTTGAATCAACCTGAGTCAGAATAGAACTGGAGAGGGACCTAGGAGGTCTTCTAGTCGAGCCCGCTGCTCAAAAAGAAAAAAAGCCAGGAAATGAACGTGATTTATTTCATTTCATTTCGTTTGATTTATTTTATTTTATTATTTTATTTTATTATTTTATTTTGTTATTTTTATTTTGTTGTTTTTATTTTATTCTATTATTTTTTATTATTTTATTCTATTTTATTATTTTATTTTATTATTTTAATTTTATTTTATTTTACTCTATTTATTCTGTGCTCTTGAGATCTACGAAATTAAGAACGGTTGCTGGAATTGGGGATGTCTAGTTGAATGAACAGAAGGACTAGGCTAAGGGGTGAGATGATGGCGGTATTCCAGCATTTGAGGGGCTGCCACAAAAGAAGAGGGAGGGTCCACTTATTCTCCAAAGCAAGACAGGAACAATGGATGGAAACTAACCAAGGAGAGAAGCAACCTGGAAGTAAGGAGAAATTTTCTAACTACTTCTTCTTCTTCTTCTTCTTCTTCTTCTTCTTCTTCTTCTTCTTCTTCTTCTTCTTCTTCTTCTTCTTCTTCTTCTTCTTCTTCTTCTTCTTCTTCTTCTTCTTCTGCTTCTTCTTCTTCTTCTTCTTCTTCTTCTTCTTCTTCTTCTTCTTCTTCTTCTTCTTCTTCTTCTTCTTCTTCTTCTTCCTCTTCCTCTTCCTCTTCTTCTTCTCCTCCTCCTCCTCCTCCTCCTCCTCCTCCTCCTCCATCTTCTTCTCCTTCTTCTTCTTCTGCCATATCCGTTATCGGACGTTGGCGATCCTGTTTTTATCAGCAATTTTTCTAACAGTGAGGACAATTAATCAGTGGAACAACCTGCCTCCAGATGCTGTCAGTGCTTCATTACTGGAAGTTTTTAAGAAGAGATTGGACAACCATTTATCTGAAATTGTATAAGGTTTCCTGCCTGAGCAGGGGGTTGGACTAGATGACCTCCAAGGTCCCTTCCAACTCTATTACTCTATTCTAATCTAGGTAATATACTCTAATATACTCTTGTCTAGTCTTATTCCTATTCCTATTTCTATTCCCACTCCCATTCTCTACTCTACTCTACCCTACCCTACCCTATCCTATCCCGTATTCTATTCTATTCTACCCAGCCTACCCTACCCTACCCTACCCTACCCTAGCCTACTCTAACTCTACTCTACTCTACTCTACTCTACTCTACTCTACTCTACTCTACTCTACTCTACTCTATTCCATTCCATTCCATTCCATTCCATTCCATTCCAATTCATTCCATTATTCTATTCTATTCTATTCTATTCTATTCTATTCTATTCTATTCTATTCTATTCTATTCTATTCCATTCCATTCCATTCCATTCCATTCCATTCCAATTCATTCCGTTATTCTATTCTATTCTATTCTATTCTATTCTATTCTATTCTATTCTATTCTATTCTATTCTATTCTATTCTATTCTATTCTATTCTATTCTATTCTATTCTACTCTACTCTACCCTACCCTACCCTACCCTACCCTATTCTACTCTACTCCATTCTGTTCTAAATATTCCTCTTGTTCCTATGGTCTAAAACAGTGATGGCGAACCTTTTAGAGACCGAGTGCCCAAAAACTGCTCTGCCCCTGTCCCGCCCCACCCCCATCCCGCCCTCCCGCAGCATCACCCACCGCCTCCACGGCCCACCGCAGCAGATTGCCCAGGTGGCCCTCCGCCCGTGCCCTGCAACAACATCTGCATACGACAGGGCATGAGGGCGGAGTCTTGTCCCCGGTGCCCAGCTGCCATGTCCTTGGCTGTGCTACTCTGCGCAGGCCGTGCCCGGGGTCAACTCTCCTCTTGAGGGCTGCTGGTGAGGAGGGGGCCACGGGGGGAGGCGGGGCTGGGGTGACAGCATACGTGCCTAAGAGAGGGCTCTGAATGCCGCCTCTGGCACACGTGCCATAGGTTTACCACCACTGATCTAAAATGTCTTCCTGCCCAGAATCTCTTTAATAACTTCCAGAAAATTCCCAAAGGTGATTCTGGGGGAAACCCAGCAAAATTGTGCCAAATATCTATTTAGAAAACCAGAATCATGGTATCCGGCCCTCTCAATTCCTGGCAAATAGATGGGGAAGAAATGGAGGTAGTGACAGATTTTATTTTTCTGGGCTCAAAGATCACCTCAGGTGGGGACTGCAGCCAAGAAATTAAAAGACGCTTGCTCCTGGGGAGGAAAGCTATGGCAAATCTAGACAGCATTCTAAAAAGCAGAGACATCACCCTGCCCAACAAAAGTGCGTATAGTCCAGGCCATGGTTTTCCCAGTTGCAATGTATGGCTGTGAAAGTTGGACCATAAGAAAGGCTGAGCGCCAAAGAATTGAGGCCTTTGAACTATGGTGCTGGAGAAGACTCCTGCAAGTCCCTGGACTGCAATCGATCGAACTGGTCAGTCCTAGAGGAGATCAACCCCGACTGCTCTTAGAAGGCCAATCCTGAAGTTGAAACTCAAATACTTTGGCCACCTAATGAGAGGAAGGACTCCCTAGAGAAGAGCCTAATTTGGGAAAGATTGAGGGCAATAGAAGAAGGAGACGACAGAGAATGAGATGGCTGGATGGAATCACTGAAGCAATAGGTGTGAATTTAAATGGACTCCAAAAGATGGTAGACAGGAAGACCTGGAGGAACGTTGTCCATGGGTCGCGATGAATTGGACACGACTTCGCAGTTACCAACAACAACAAACATCTATTTAGAAGTCAAAGGATGCTTGTCCCTCTCCCTCTTTCTGCCAGAGGCAATTCCTTTCTCTCTCTTTCCTCCTACAGCTCAGAAATAGCATGTTTGTTATTTTAGGATTAAAAAAAAATCAGTTTCCAAGGTCTGAAAGGGGAATTAGTTACAGGTCATAAGAAACACATCAGCGTCACAAACCCTGAATTGTTAATAGAATCACTAAATTCCTGTTATTCCACCTACATTTTTGTCTACATTTACATTTGTTTATGAGACTTATATACGCTTTAAGTGCAAGCACTCTCTAAGCCAGTGGTTCTCAACCTGTGGGTCGGGACCCCATTTGGGGTCGAACGACCATTTCACGGGGGTCGCCAAACAGGCTGTCTGCCATTTTTTCCCCCCTTTTCTTTGGCCACGCCCCTGGCACCCTTTGATGTATAAGTGGTGTGGGGGTCCCATTAACATGGGGAACTGTATGAAAAAAAAAAAATTATGGGGTCGCGGCATTAGAAAGGTTGAGAACCACCCCTCTAACGGTGTACACCATAAGCAATTTATATATATATATTTACATTGCCCCCAACCATCTGGGTCCTCATTTTACCTACCCCGGAAGGATGGAAGGCTGAGTCAACCTTGAGCCGGTGAGATTTGAACCGCTGACCTGCTGAACACAGTCAGCTAAAGTGGCCTGCAGTACTGCACTCTAACTGCTGCGCCACCTCGGCTCTTACATTTGTTTTTTGTCATTTTAATTTGTTGTGCAATAATAATATTTATTTCTGTCAATTGGTAGAGTTTCAGAGGCCAAGCATTGTACTTGATTTGATCTGAAACTCTACCAATTGACAGAAATAAATATTATCTTTTATAGCTGTGTTTGTTGCCGTTTGGCCTTTTCAGGGAAATTATATTCCTTGGATAAGGAATAACCTCAAGCATTGTTAAGATTCCATGTCGGAGTCCACCTTTTCCAAAAAATAATATGTTACCACAGAGCTGAATAAGATTTTTCTTCCATAAGAGGGAAAACTGCCACAATTAAGATGAAAGGATAAAAGGAGAAGTTATCAAATTTGCAGACAACATGAAGCTGAGGTGAACAGCGAAATACTTTTGAACAGAGGTGGGGAACTATGACCCCTTAATGATTTTTGGACTTCAACTCTCAGAATTCCTGAGCCAGCCTGGCTTAGGAATTCTGGGAGTTGAAGTCCACAAGTTATAAAGGGGCCATAGTTCCCCATATCTGCTCATGATCCAGAAGGACATTAACAGACTTGAGCCTTGGGCCCTATCCAACAAAATGCAGTTCAGCGATAAGAAAATGAAGGTCCACAAGGTTTTGCTGGCCCGCTAATTTACTCACTTTCTCAAAGAATGCAATAAAGCATGTTCTGTTTTTGACACACACACGTTTGGCTTCTAGTAATAGCTTTGCTGGTTTCTAGGTGTACGCACCTCCGTTGCTTGATTATCTTTTCCAGAGACTTCCCAGGTGTTGATGTGAGACTGCACCCATCTCTGGACCAAGGGCCCTTGCTCAATGTCACATCTGACCACTCATCTGGAGTACTACAATGCGCTGCACATGGGGCTGCCCTTGGAGAGCATTTGGAAGCTCAACTGGAGTAGAATGCAGCAGCATGCGTTGTAAATGGTGCCAGTTATTTGGCGTGTGTAACACAGCAATTCCGTGAGCTGAATTATGTGCCAGTGTGCTTCCAGGTTCATTCAAGGTGCTGATTTAAAGGCCTTCATGATTTGGGATTGGGTTAATTGAAGTACCCTCTCTTCCCCGTTGTTCCTATCCGTTGGATCTGATCAGAAAAGACGAGCGTGCATCAGGTAAAGAATATTGGTTGGTCCAGAAAACATGTTTGTTTGTTTTTTGCTGTAACACCCAGTTTGGCAAACATTCTCCCTGCCCTGATTGTGATACCCTCAAATACTGGCTCACACACTGTTCCTAAGATAGCTCACAGTTTACTCAAGATCAACTGAGAGCAAAGGAAGGCAAACTAAAGAAGAGCTTGCCTGAATTAGTTTGGTGTTAACAGAAGTGCACCGAACAATAGTCCAAAATCAGTCCAAAGTTCCGAGTGCCGACTCAAGGTTGTCAGCCAGTCCAGAGGTCAGACTTTCACTGGAAGAATCCTCAGGAAAGTCACAGAAGAGCTAAATCAGGGG